GGATTCTGGCCAGGATTCCGGATTGGTTTGGATTCTGAGGAGGATTCTGGCCAGGATTTCGGGGATTGGTTTGGTTTTGAGAGGACTCTGGCCAGGATTTCGGGAATTGGTTTGGACACGGGAGGATTCCGAGCTACTCGGTTCTTCGCATGGGATGCAAGCTAGCCGCTTTGCGCAGGCACGATCCTTGTCCAGAACTTCCAAAGTGAGATTGCTGTTAGGAGTGAACAACCGGCGACTCCAAATCAAGACGATTCAGAAGCACGTGTCCTGCGCCCCGCCCTGTGCGTTTGGAACGGCTTGCAGCTGCGGATGCCGTCGAAGCAAGGAACTGTCGAGGGGAAGCAGCAAATCCTCCAGAGCTCTTGCCCTGGATCTTTGCCTCAAGCTTGTCTCCAAGGCCTGCGTCAGCGGCAGTATACGCGTGCTGAAGGCTCCAAAGAGAATCGGCTGCGTTGCAGAGGCAACCTAGAATCGGGCGTGGGTGTTAACTGTTAACTGTTAACTATATCTACATCCAAGCACAGTGCGCAGACACGGAAGCATGAAGAACACACATACGGAGTGGCAAAATGCAATTCTCGGAACGCCCCTGACAAGAGCAACATGAACAACAACGCTTATACCCAGAAGCCCGCTACCGCGCAGGAGCATGCCTCCACTACGTTCTTGTAGGCTCGCACGTCGTCCCGGGAGTGGATGTCCTTGCGGAAGAAGATCAAGAAACACCTGCCCAGAGTCAATAAGGTGCAGAGTTGAGGGACTGAGATAGGGGGCTTTGGATTATGACAATGATTAGGGTGATTACTTGGAGGCCCAGGGGACTTGGTAAGTAGGTTATAAGTAGAGTTATAAGTCCCCTAAATGGAGTTACCCCAATTATAACTCTACTTATAACCGACTTACGAAGTCCCCTGGGCCTCCAAGTAGGGGGCGAATGATTAGAGCTTAAGGTTTAGGAACTGGGGCTCGCATGACCAGGAGGAGGATCGAGCCCGTGTCTTGCGGTTCTGAAATTTTCTAGAAGCCCCTTACCGGAAGTTTCAGATAACACGTTTCGAAAGACCTTGAGGGTACGGTTAAGACTATAGTGACCGAATTTCTGCTCAAGCAGATATTCCGTCGTAAGGCTTTTGGGTTGTATCCTTGCTGGTGTAGTCCTTGGCGGAAGACAAGATGCGTGTTCGGGATTCAGGGCTCTCGCACTGAGACTATGGAGACCAGCGTTCCACGAAACGGCGGAGCTTGTTTCTTTTAGCAAGTTCAAGGCACTGCTGGCTCCACGTCAAATCCAAGGCTGTCTGCATCCTTCTCAAACTTCGCAATGTCTGCCCACCCTGGCAGGGCAGCGCAAAAGCGACGAGCCTCTTGTCTCTCTGCAAGACTGGGTTCACATAAGTGGATATGGCTCACTCTGGACTCATGTTCCTGATGCTGCAAGATCCACGCGCCCAATGCTCCCAGAGGGCGGCCAGAGGCACGATCCGACTTTGGAACCACTGTCCGTGTTCTGCGGCAGTCCTCGTGCTTGCTATCCCGCCATGGACAGAAAGCTTGCATGTTCTTGGTTCGTGGATTGTACCGAATGATGCCACTGTTCGGAAAGTGGAGCTCGACGATGCCAGCTGTCTCTCGAGAAGTCGCAGCGCGTGCCGCCCTCTCCGGCGCGACCTCCTCTGCAGGAGGCGGGGGCGCCACTGGTGGCGCAGCTGACTCAGCATCAGCTTCCTCCACATCGACGCCCTCCGAGTTAGCCTCCGAGTCCGGCGGCTCGTCGCGTGCCGGCTCTGGCGGCGGAGCAAGCAAGGTGTCCAACTGATTCTCATCCAATCCTTCCAAGCCCTCTGACCCAAAGCCATTGGACTCGGACTCTGACGTGGCCTCGTCGTCTCCAACGCCATACATCTCGGCAGCAACATCCTCAGGCGCCTCTGTCTGGTCACCAAGCTGGCTAGATGCATCTGCAGGGTCAACGTCCAGCTCTATGTCTCCAACACCAGCACCGTCGTCTGGAGCGTCCTCTTGTGGTCCACGTCCACGTGCACCACGACCGCGACCTCGTCTGGAAGCAGGACGATGCTGGAGACGAGAAGAACGACGGTGTTCACCAGATGGTTCTGGGCGCTTTCGTGCGCGCAGGCGCTGCTCTGAGGATGCGCCCAGCCAGATCTCAAACTCTGCCGTATCTTCCAGAGGAACTAGAGGCATAGTGCCATCGGGCTGCGCAGTCCAGTGTCGGCTGGAGCCGTCTAGCGCGAGGAGCTGGACAGCCCACGGCCGTTTGAGATCAAGCTCGGATGCCAGCCTGAGGAAGCGCGGCGTGAAGCTATTGCTATTGGTCTTGATAGTATGACATATGATTCATGTGAAGCCTCTCTACTCTAAGACTCTATGAATCCTCCGCGGCTAGAGTTAGAGTTGTGTTGGCGTTAATACACGGGCTTTGGTAAGTCCGCGCAGTCGCAGTGTCCTANNTCCTAGTCCTAGTGATCCTCGTGGCTCTGGGCGCTATAAGGTCTGGATTCTACAAGTAGACGCATCGCTTGAATTGTGCTGCGTAGCGAGAGACGTGTATGTGCAGCCTGGGAGCACTTGCATATCAGTCTTGAAATCCTCATCTCTGCCAGTGCATCGCACATAAAGCACATTCTCGTCATGCACACCAGGCACGGTGTCTGCACGGACAAGCTCGGTTCCTGCGAAGTGGTAGGAGGTGAGATGGATTCGGCCGATGTGCAAAAAACGCACGATCGGTTCTGTTCCTGGGCTTGGCTCGGCCGCTCCACCTGACAAGAGCTGATCCTCCAAGCCGCTCAAGGCCGCGTCCGGGAGCACACCTGCGGACAGCTGCAACACCATGCGGGAGTCTTCCATGACACGACGAGCAGCCGACATGGTCACCTTCTTTGTGTCCTTGTCTTTGCGTCTCCAACAGACTCGTCTCATGTAAGCTGCCAGCTTCTGGAAAAAGAACATGCCCTGCGTATGTTCTGCGCAGACACAGACTCCGAAGCCAAAGCAAGGTTTCAATCGAAAGCCGGAGCCGTCTTGAGAGGGAAGTTTGGGTTGATCCACATGCTTGCGAAGGACGCAGCGCTGCTCCAAGGAGGCTTGCAGGTGTTTGTCGAGAGACAGAACACGGCGTTTGCCCACGTTCTCCTGACACATCGCAGCCTCCGCAGGACAGTAGAGCGACGAGACCCTGTATAGTCTAGTGACTAGTGGTTCTAGTGATTCTAGTGAATAGAGTGACTATAGAGTCTAGAGTGAGTTACAATTGCTATGCAAAGCTGGTATAAGGAACACTCTACAGTCAGCGCACGAACACGCACGAACCAACCCCTCCCTCCCTCCCTCCCTCCCTCCCCATAGCCATAACCCTCCCTCCCTTTCTCCTGTCTGGGGTTCAAGCTATATTAATAGGCGCGCAAACAAAACTTTGTGTGGAATTGGTTCCGCCCGAGCCTTCACCCACTTAGCGATGGGAGGGATCCAGCGCAAGCAGGCCAGATTGGTCGCAGAGGTGCCAGTGCCCAGAGACACGCACGCTGCGGCTGAGGAAGTGTGCCCTGCCCGGTCCAGGTGCGCGGGCAAAGCATCCTCCCCGGATTTCAGGGCTGCTTCCGCTAAAGCTTTCTGCTGAGCTTCCCTCTTGGCAGCCTCCGCCTTTCCAATGTCTTTCATCTCCTTAAGAACAATGCTCCGCTCTTGCTGGTAGCGTTGACCAAAGTTCTCGTCGCCCTCGTAGCGCTGGAGCTCTTGGAAGGATAAGGCCATGTCTGGGGCAACGACGACACCATCCACTCGGACCTCGCCCGCAGCAGGGACGTCCGCCAGGGCTCTCCTGACTTCAGGCCTGGCTGCATGGTCGCCAAAGGCCTTATAGCCAGCTGCGTGCGCTTTGGCGGCTGCTTCGCCCACCTCCCGGTAATAAGCCATCTGGTCCTTCGACAAGGCTCTGTGTTGCTCGGCCAGCTCAGCAAACGTGCCAGGAGGCACACCGCCACGGGCACCCCGTAACATAGAACTCACAAAGGCCCTCCAGGCCCCGCCCCCGCCACGTGCAGCGCGCTTCTGCTTCTTCTTTCGCCTTGTTTGATCGGGCTCGGCATTTGGCTCTGCGCTCGGGTCTCTCCCACGCATGCGGGACACAGTTCTTGCTATGAAGACAGACGCCAGAGCCTTCAACGATGGCCACCATCCGCGGGCTCGCATCATGCTGATTTCCCGGTTCGAGGAATGCCGCGACTCGATCTGTGCGATGTCACAGGACGTCATCTGCGCGACACTTTCTACGATGGCCAGAAACTCATCGCTGTTTCCGTGCACCGCAGCATTCTCTGCCGGGACAGGAGCCTCGGACAGAGCAACAGCTCGCACACGTCGGGACTACGACCATGTCGAGGTAGATTCAGAAACCCCGGAGCTAATCCCGTAACCAGATATAAGCTAGAACCCCTACCTGTCTTGGAATGAGCACTTTACTAGA